TTCTGGAACCAAGTGTTCGTCGTTGAGGTACGAGACCAGCTCAAAAATACTATGATACAGTAGAAGAGGAAGGCGATAATAGTGAAAATTAAAAAAATGACTTATTCCTTGGGGCGGGGTGTCATCCACATGGTTTTTGTCGTATTAGATTTTTGGTCGCGGTATTGCATTTTTTTCGTCGATTCCGGTACGTAGGACTTTAGTGCAAGAAATTAGCCTTGCTCGTACAGAACAGAAGTCTCCCTCAATAAGCCTTTTGCTTTAAAAGGATAAAATGAAAACTGTTATGCAAAGTGCAAAATGGTATCTCCGGTGTTCAACTGTGGAGTGCATTCTGCTTGTCCTCCGCTGCTAGGGGGTATAGAGGTTCACTGAGTCCACTTATGGCAGGATTACAGTCCACAAACGACCAGATACTCCCCTCAAAACCTGCCTCCGCTGGATCCATAAGTTGTAGAGAATAATCAGAACTTGTTACAGTACTAAAAGAACTGGTTAACTTCGTCGAAATCCTCTAAAAATCGTCACAATAAATTGTGTTTCCTGCATAGATCGCTCGTGGTATGCTTCGAATACTGTCCCGCCCGAGAATGTCATCCACCCACGACCAAAAGAGCGATATCCGTGTACCTATTACGTAGATTGACGAAAGTGCTGGTGAGAGTTGAGTCACATTCTGAGGAAGCTCTCAATAATTTGTATAGCCGATACCCAGGTCTGTCAACCCTTCAATCTCAAAAATCTCAGGTGGAAGTTCGCTGATGGGGTTGCCGGTGAGTGAAAAATAGGATGGCATAACGCGTAATAGAGCTTGGAAAACGACCTGCAGTTGACTGTATTCGATGATGACAATCGATCCTGCTAGCCACTTTAGGTCGAGATCGTCTGGAACTTGACGAAGATTAGTAGCACAAAACTCCTAGTCGTACAAGTTGACCGGTGTGTCAATGGATTGGAAACCTGCCGGCAATTGTCCGTTTGTCATGTTGGTCCGAACGACCATAAGAGTCAAAAATGCCGGGTGGTTCGTATTCGTAATTGCAGCCGATTCTCTCCAGTCGACGATTGTCGAATTATATATTTTAACGATGATGAGTTCGTGGAATTCATTGAATGTATCGGGGATCGCGACGAAAGGACAATGTTTGATAACCATCAGAGCCACCGTAGATCCGTCAAATTCTCGCCATTTGGAGTCGACTTCTTCCAGTTGACCAGAAATTTGGAGGCGATGGCAATCGAATGATACCAAGAAACAGCACGGGCGGACAGCTGCCCACGGTCTCACTTGTAGTGTGCACTGCTGCAATGAAGGTTGCACTGATGCATGGATGTGTAGACTAAGAACTTCAACCCCCCACATAAAGAGACGAGATGTATACCATGCATCGTCACTTGCCACCAGCGCGACCACTTCGCTTTCCTTCCATGATGCTTCTTC